ACCATCTCTGTGACGTCAATGCGAACTGTACCAACACTGACGGTTCCCACAACTGCACCTGCAGGGAAGAATACATCGGAGATGGACAGTCATGCCAAGGTACGAGCGAATAATGAATCAGAAATATGACTTTGATCGCACGCTACATCACAGTAGCATTAGCATTAAACAAAGCATCGTTAGCAGGAAGTATTATCCCATTAAGTGCTACGTGTTGCATTTTAAGCAGCTTTACCCATGCAAGTTTATGCAGGGTTCACCATGATTTACATTTTTCCTGTTTCAGAGCCATTATATTGGTGGGTTAAAAAAATTTGTGTTGAACTGTTCGTTTACAATATCTAATTCGTAAAACACAAAATGGAGAAACCTTTGTTTTATCCTTTGCAATGATTAATAGCATCGCAAGACTGAGACTATTTATCCTATTTAAGGCAACAAAAAAAAATGCAAAATATATTTATTGTGTCTCAGATATTGACGAATGTAAAGGAAATCACTCTTGTCACCTGAATGCTACCTACGGGAACGGCAACGGATCGTACGTTTATACTTGTAAGCCCGAATGTACTGGAAATGGACGCAATTGTACAGCTACTTAATGTCTTACTTTTGTGACCCATCATATACGAGAGAAAAGTAATCCGTGCCCAAAGTGTGTACTTATCGTATCATACATTTCCAGACAGAAAAGGAAAAAGATGTGGGCCGGTTGGTGTGGCAGACAATAATGCAATTCCAGATGCCAGAATGACAGCAAGCAGTATGTTTGATGATGATTATGCTTCATACCTCGGCCGACTGAATGAAACCAGGAGACGAGGAGGGTGGTGTCCTAAGACTACAGGTGATAGAACCGACTACCTTCAAGTAGATATGGGTTCAGTGCTGTCTGTTTGTGCTGTGGCTACTCAAGGAGAAGAGGTACTTCCGGAATGGACCACCAACTACAAATTGAACCTATCTATTGACGGTTTAGCTTGGAACCCTTACGAGGAGACGAATAAAACAAAGGTTTGGAATACGAGTAAATAAAGGGTTGATTTGATCAGCAACTATTAGTAATGGTTATAGGGCAAGGGGACTCCAACTAGGTCTGTGAAGAACGTGAGTGAGTTACAACATTGTATCAATACAACTGTGTGAATTGTTGTTATTCACAAGTATGGTTATTGACTTTACGGAAAGTCGTGACCAGTTAGCCTGAAATATTGCAAAGTTGGAGAAACAAAATACCCATCTTTTAAACGCATTAATAAAGAACAGATAACCTGTTTTGCAAGGAAAAATGGACCACATGCCTAGAAGGTTTGAAAAGGACTATGATTGACACTTTTTCGTAAAAATTAAAGAGTTCGTGGCTAATACGAATAGTTTGCAACCAGATATAAAGCTGAAGAAATCGTTTCATGTTTAACATTTACTTCTGGGTATCGTAAGACGAGTAATAAACAAGCGATCAAATAAAGAAAAGTGACAGAAAATTTTACTGCATTTGGAAAATTTGGGCCGCAACAAAAAGGGCACAAATTGTATGAAAGATGTGAGCTGCTGAGACCTGCTCAGAGGCCCCCCTCGTGCTTACCCCTCCTGCCCTCTCCCCCCACCTAACAGCACCTCCTTACTTAAATGAAATATAAAATTAGTGGACTATAACAAGGTGTTCAGTTTCTTTTCTTTTTATTCTCGGTTTGCTTTCTTCCAGGTGTTTCAAGGGAACTCGGATCAAACAAGTATCGTGAAGCATTCACTTAGAACTGACTTCAAAGCAAGATACGTTCGGTTTTATCCTGTCTCATACCACAAATGGCCTTGTTTGAGGGTTGAGATATATGTGTTTAAGTAATACATTTAAGATGTCTACTGAAAAAAAAAAAAAAAAACAATTTAAAGTAGGAAAATAAAAATTACCAAACAAACTAAAAATCTTTTTTAACAATCTAACCACTGCACCCCTTTCGCCGCAGTATAATAAAACAGTTATACATGATAAACGTAAAGTTGAAAAGGTATTCTAGATCTGTTCTGAAAGTTGTGTCTGGTCACTGTCGCTTATTCATTCTGCGTTATGGTTAGTTACTATCAGTGTCAGTTTTCTCAATTTTCCGATAAGCTGATAGCATATGCAAAAAATACCAGTAGATACAGAGGAATCGAGATTCCTGAAGCGTGGATGCCTGTAACTTAAGGGCGGAGTAACCAGCCCACCCAAAAACAAATCAGACCTCTAACGGAGCAATGTCATCTTGGAGCATTAATGTACCAACAAGAGCGCTCTAAAACATACCAATAGCAGCTCACTATGCCACAACAGTTGCAATGGGTAACTATTCAGCGTCATTGCTTGATGAAGAAAAGCACTTAAGCGTTGGTAGAGTCACAATTTACATTTGATAGCTTGATCACAACTCCACACTGAACAGTAGATGATCTTTTTGATGAGAAAAAAAGTTACGCTTAATGTTCAGTTAGTTTCTAAGATCTGCTTTTTGAAGCACTTGATGATAATTAATGAGTTAAAACGTATGACATGTAAAATTCCCATCAAGAAAAAGAAAGGATGGTGCTGTATAAGCTAATTAATATGTATTTTGAAAGGGTTTGAACCATTTCGTCTGGAATCCCTTGTTGTGATGATCTTTGAAATAGAACTATAGCAACAAACGAAAACCGAGAACAACTTTCAAACTAAGTTAAGCCATAACTTTTGCAGGAATAACTCTTAATGTAGGTCGACAATTATGAATAATGTCAAATAAATAAATAATAATGATAATAATAATAATAATAATAATAATAATAATAATAATAAAACAAACGAACAAACAAAAGGAGAAAAAAATACGAACCTCCCAGAAACCTGATGTTTCTTTTAGCAATACACCCCTTAATAGCATGGAAATTGAATTAGAAATCTTAAGATCTATCAGTACCTTAATTATTATGATTGGTAGCTAACTTATTATGATTGGAGTTGGATTTGGAACACGCGCAAGGGATCGAGAAAGAGGTGCGGAGGTGCCAAATTGAGAAGTTAGAGGATGAGATCAGAAACCAAAGGTAGCAAGGGCGTCTAGTGACTACAAGGCTGGGGAATGAGAGTTTCAGTGCCAATGGGTGTTTCTGGTTGCTCACAGAGTGGAAGAACTGCCCTTCACACACAATTGCTGGACTCGTCGAGCTATAGGAGCAGCTATTGCCAACGCGAGTATACACGAGTCAGAAAACCCACACCAGCGGAGAAGGCGAGGTGAGGTGCAGATTATGCGGCAAGGCTCCAGAGCGTGTGGCACATATCTTGTCAGGATGCAGTGCGCTGGCCCAGAGCAAGTATCTCTCTAGACACGACGCAGCACTGAAGGTACTGTTTTACGAACTGTTGTATGATGAGGGATTTATAGACGAGATACCACCCTGTACTCACCCGACAAGCCGAAGCTCGTGTATGAGTCAGAGAATGTTAAAGCTTATTTGGATGTCCCTATATATGCTGATCAACAAGAGGTCAGATGCAATAGGGTGGATGCACGCATTGTAAATCATATGTGCAAGAGAGTTGTGACGCTGGAAATGAGCTGCCCGTGGGTTAACAATCGGACAAGAAAGGATGAAGAGAAGACACTGAAGTACGGACCCCTTCGCTGGGAACTAAGGCAGCAGTTCCCAGGCTACGAGGTGAAGCAATATAACATCATTATGGATGCCCTCGGGGGGTGGTCACGGGAGCTGGATGTCATGATGCGCGAGCTGGTGGGAGGCAGAAGCACAGACGTACTGCGAAAGATGCAGAGGGCAGTGCTCTCGGGCACGCTGAATATTGCCCGGACTTTCAAGGTGGCAGTTTGAGTTCCTGTTAGAAGGAGGACCGTAGACACAACGGAAAAGCTTTTTAGGATTAGTTAATGTACATTTATTTTTTACTCCATGGCTCACAGGTTACGGTTTTCGCCCTGTGCTGCCTGATTAGAATGTAGCATTCAGTTGATTTCTCTGCGACA